TTAACATTTAAAAACTATTCTTGCTGTACGGGCATCCTTCAACTGTCTGTAAACACCCATAGGAAGCTTGTACGCGTCAGGAAAAGCAAAACGCCGCTTGAAACGAGCCCGGAGGACCTCACACGCGCTGGCACGCGCCTAGGGCAAGCTGCACGTGCTCCCACGCGCTCCCACGCGCCGGCACGCGCCTGGGGCGCGTGGAATGCACACTCACGCGCTCCCACGCGCCTGGGGCACGTGGGACGCGCCTCCACGCGCCTTCACGCGCGTGGAGTTCAAGCTCCCTTGGCTGGCGCGTGCAATGCACGCGCCAGCATGTGCACTCTCCTGGCGCGTGTGGAACACGCGCCAGGCTCACCATCTTGACGCCACACCTGATCCGGGCCACCTCCGACGCCCCTTCTCGCCGCCGGCGAAGCTCCGGCCACCGGAAAAACGCCGAAAAAATTCCAAAAAATCCAAAAAAATGCCAGAAAATTAAATTAAGCCTCAAAAAATTCCAGAAAAATTCCAAAAAATTTCAGAAAATTACTGAAGCATAATTTAACCCTTTTGGACCTTCTTGAAGCTTCATAGCATCTTTTGATGAATATTACATGGCTTTAAAAATATTTACAACTTGAAATACAATGGAAAAAATAAATTACATCATTGAACTTTCAAACGGCTAAATCAAAGCCTTAATTACATTCATCCAAAGATAAAATTACATTCATTTAACCTATAAGCTTCATCCATGGCCCATCCATACATCATCATTCATTCACAATTATTCATACATCATTATGTATCAATATATATCAACATATTAAATCATACATCAACATACATCAATAAAAATATATATAAATATAATTTTGGATCCATGAATGATGATTTTCATAAAATCATGATCTCTAGTAATGAATCAAACCATGCTCTGATACCACTGTTGGGAAACGTGCTAGTTTTAAAAACTTTTCGAGGGATTTAAATTCATAGATCTTGATTCATCACATAGAGACAAGTTTTATGCAAAAAATAAAATAAAATATGATGTATTATTCAACTAAAAGATTGAATACTTACATCAAGGTTTGAGTAAACCTCAGATCTCTCCTCTAAAGTGAATGTTCTCACTTATTGTAGATCCCTTTTGCTAGATGCATTCTCCTTGGATCTCCATCTTCTTGGTAATTGTTTTGCCTTTAGGAATCACTCATATGCCTCCATGAATGACCTTGGAAAACTAGGCTTGTGGGAGCCTCCATTAGATGAGAACATAAACCCTAATTTTCTAGAGAGAGAAAATTTATTCCTTTTTCCTTCTCATAAAAATCACACCCTAAAATATACATAGACCATGTATATTTATAGGCAACATAAAAATAAAGAAAAGGAAACAACAAATCCTTCTCCATCTCTAATTCATATGTCTCAAATCTAATATGATTCCAATATCAAGTTGGGCTATGAGTGAGAATCCATTGGGCCTATTATTTTATTGGCTACAATGAATTAATAATTGGCCCGGTCCATGGACCCAATTCAATTAATTCATAAATTAATTTCTACTCCACTAAAAGAAATTAATTGAACTCCAATTAAATAATAAATAACCTCTAAGTCAATATTGCACTTTGACCCCTCTATGCATAATTAGTTATCGGATAAATATAGCCATCAATCCGACTACTTAATTAATATATTTATTTTGGTACCTTTGATTATTTCTGGCTCGATCACAATAAAACATTTGTTTGACAAAAATAATAATTTAAATAAATAAATATATAATAAATCATTTTGTCTAAAAACACACGAAGGCCTTCGAATTTACTTTGTGATCAACCATAATCAATACAAAATAAATACAAGTAGCAATGATGCAAATATTGAAAATATAACCCTCTAACTATTAATTACATAACTACCCAAAGTGTCGGTCTAAGGATCCCGAAGAATCCGCCGAACAAATCAAAGTAATTATTAATTAATAAAAGAGTCTATACTTTTCTCATGCTTAAGAGTCAAATGCCATGACGGTAATAGGGAGTAATTGCATACGACGGCTCTCGCAATATATCTCAACCTAACGCGGATCCAGTTCAAGTCTTAATTAATTATGAGTCCATCCATAATTACCGACTATGAACAATTTATAATTACTATTTATATATCATGCATTGATTGTCATCACATACATATATATAAATATTTCTTGTAATTAACAGGACACTATCAATTTCATAGTGAATTGAAACATAATACATTGAATTCACCAATTATATAAATCATAAATATTTCAGATATGTCAGGAACATATGTCAATACAATCCAGATAGGAATTTGCTATGCCAGGGCATATAAATCCCAACACAGGCCCCAAGGGAATATTTTGGAAAGACTGCGTGTAAAAGGTGGATTGTCAAAGTGTGAATAGCAAAAGCTTTCATCTTATAAATTGCTAAATTTTGTCTTTGTTTCGGCTATAATTGAGCACATAACAACTATTCTTCTACACTGAAAGGACAGGGGATTCAGTGATTGATGTGTGTGTTAGTGTGTGTGGTTGCAGGGGTTGCAGCTGTTGTGATACGAGAAGATATCTGATTCAAATGGCTTTGGCAAATAAGGGAAGCAATCCTTTTATTTATGCATAATATTTGTTTTGTATTTTTTTTAGCAAAGAACTAGTGGGCAATGAAATTTATACCCGAGTCTTATCTAAATCTAATATCTTATCCAAATCCAAAATGTTTGACTGAATCTTTAGGCAGACAAAGCTTCAAAATAAAAACAAAAACAGGAAGACAGTATCAATAATGGAAGGCCAAATGAGCCAGTCATTGACTCATTGCTGTCCTTCGATCTATTGAAGGGGAATTTTATTTATTATTTTTTTTTTTTGGAATTTTTATCATTTAATTAGATGCTCTCAACTTCTTATAATTCTTCACAACTATATTATTTTATCTCCAACAATTTGTAATCTTTCACCTGTTTGGGTTGTTGAAAAACTCCAAATCTTTTATTTTTCTTCCTCGGTCTTTCAGAGAAAACTATGAAAAGATAGATGCCTGCTGGCTTAGTTTTTTTTGCATCAATGTATCTGGAAAAACTCTAGGTAATATTTGAATAACACCACACGTTTGTTAAAATGTGATTTGCTATCCTATTTTTCTTTCTCAAATGAAAACTGAAAACTGAAAACAAAAAACTCTTGAAGATGGTGTGCATCTCAGTTTTCTTCTCGGATGCATTTGGTCTGCTACTTTTTTCTTCTTCGCTGTGCGTTCTTGATATAAATTATAGCTAAATTTGATCACATGAATCTAAAAACACTAAAATCCAAAAGTTCCTCTGGTATCTAATCAACTCCGCATTCGGGGTGCATTAGTGATCATATGAGCACAAGATTTTACTACCAAATGTTGGTTTCACTTTCATTCTATTCTTTCAAAATTTTATTTTGGTTGCTTTAATTTTTCCCACTCAATATGGGAATTCTGTTATTTGAAGCAATGTTGATAATACTGGCAGGCAAGGGAATATATTGGGAAGACTGCGTGTAATAGATGGATTCTCAAAATGTCAACAGCTAAGGTCTGAGAATAAGCTTTCATAGTTTCATCTATATTTTTATGCTATGTTCTGTGGAAGACAGTGAACTCAGTGATTGATGTGTGTGTGTGTGTGTGTGTGTGCAGGGGTTGCAGCTGTTGTGATATGAAATGATACCTGATTCAAATGGCTTTGGCAAACAAGATGAGCAATCCTTTTCTTTATGCATAATATTTGTTTTCATTTACTTTTTGTCAAGAACAAGTAGGCAATGAAATTATTGTTCATCTAAATCTAATATCTATCAGAAAAAGACAAGTTACATTTGATCCAATTTCATAATGCTTAATTGGATGACCTCATTTTAATCTTTAGGGCCGACAAAGCTACAGAAAATAAATAAAGAAATTAATAAAAAATTATACAAATTCTGGAAGAGGGAATCAATTAATTGGAGGCCAAGTCGGCCAGTCATTACTGTCCCTCTATCTATTGAAGTGGAAATTTACTGTTTAAATGTTCTCAACTTCATATAATTCTTTAAAAAATCATTATTTTATCTCCGACTATTTGTAATCTTTCAACTGTTTAGGTTGTTGAAAAACTTCAAATATTTTATTTCTTTTCCTCAGTCTTCCAGAGAAAACGATAAAAAGATAGTTGCTTGCTTGGCTTCGTTTTTTGTTTAGCATTAATGCATCTGAAAAACTCTGTATTACACATTAATGTGTGTGATTAGTGGGTTTTTTTTTTTTTTAGCTTGATCCAAGAGTAGTCTATCATAATTGAAATTAAAATTACAAATTGTAACTTGTAAGTCCAACTTCCCTTTGTTTGGCTTTCAGAATTAGGGGAAAGAAAAGAAAACAGAGCTTTAATTCCCCTCCCCCCCCCCCCCCCCCCCCCCCAAGTCTCAATCTTTGTAGGTTTGGAGGAAGTATTGATAGGCCAAGAGGGCCAAAAAAAAAATTTAAACAGTAGTTCTTTATATGATTTGCAAGTCCCTTCTTTCTTTGCAACCAAACAAGGGCTTTGGGCTTCTCTCTAAATAGCACCATCACACCCAAACAAGCTGGTTGGTTGTTAATCTTTAAAAACAGGTGAATTTGTAAACTTAAAGAGAGTGAATAAATGCAGTGCAAATTGCCACCAAATTCACGGAGTTAGTTTGACTTCCCAACTGTAAAATAAATTTGCTTTAATGGTCTAATATCAAAATTCAGCAACCGAAATCCGAAACACATGCATGGCTTTTTTCATCTAGTTTTGGAACTAGCTCTTGGAAGGAAATAACATGTCATAATGCTTATAGTTTTCCTGTCTGCAACTTTGGGTACGTTTATTCTCTCTCTGCATCAACCATCACACAATTTAGGTTGTCAAACCACTCATGAAGACATCAACTTACTCAACTAACTCATCCTTTCCTTCCATTACTGACATGACTTCTAATCAAATGAAAAGATAAACCACCAACTCATCAACATTATATATGGAGGATGCTTAAACAGTCATTTGCATACTTGGATCTAAGAGTTACATATATCATATCATACCATATCATATATATATATATATACTCTAGCCTAAATAGTGCACAAGGCTTCCATGGAAGGTCACAGAATTACACACACAAATATATATATATATATATATATATATATATAACACAACCTAAAACACATCTGAATGGAAGTTCTCATAAGTTTAGTAGTTGGTTAGAGAAGAATTGCAGTGAAAGAGAACTGCTGAGAGATATTTATGAAGATTCGATGTAACAAGTCTTTTAAGGCTTGTGATGCTGAGTATAGATGTAATCTAAATGAGCCTCTGCAACCATTCTTCTCTTCAAGCACTCTTCATCTCCATTATCACAGATCTCAAATCCCATCAGCTGCGGCCAATTATTCCATGAAGTAAAAAAAAAAAATTAATTAATTTAATAATAATTAGAAACAAAAGAAACTTCATATTGGCAATAAGATTAGGAAAAAGTAGATTACATTCAATGAGTCATTTCCTTCAGTCTCTGTAGTGGGGATTTCAGTGAGCTTCAGTCCCTCTTTCCCTGCAATATATTGATGCAAAGTTTTAGTTTTAGTATCCGGAGGTTGTAAACCGGATATCCAAGAGTTCAAAGCGGCTAACGGGTGAATTGATTCTTCATTAAATAATAATAATAATAACAAGGCATTTGCTTACCTCCTTTGGTTGCTAGGAAGCGGGCAGATGTCTGTGAGAAGGTCACAAGGAAAAGAAGGAAGAACAGAAGAGCACAAGAATGCAAGCTTTTCTTCATGGGTTCAGCTTATAATTCTCTCTTGTTGTGTGTGTGTGTGTGTGTGTGTGAGAGAGAGAGAGAGAGAGAGAGAGAGAGAGAGAGAGAGAGAGAGATTGAAAGAGAGAGGGAGAGGGAGAGGGAGAGAGAGTTGGGAGTTGAGAGTTGTGGGAGATGTAGGGGGCAGATGACGGGTATTAATAGTGGTAGTAGTAGTACATGCAAAGAAGGCAAGCATTCTCTAAAGAAGGCCTCAAAATTAAAGACAGTTAGTATAATAGTACATCATAAGGTGGGCCAAACCCACCATCATCTTATTATAGTCTCCATGCTCATGTGACAACACCACCATTTAGATGAGAGAGAGATAGCTTTAGTCATTGTCAAGGTAGTGGTCCATGTAAAGTCCAAAGTCTGCGAAAATCAATGTGCAATAGTGGCTGACAGTGTCAACAAGTCAACCTTTTGGACATGCTTATAGCTGTTCTCCATCATCCCCTATTTTGCCTTTCACTACCATACTGCTGAAAACGTGTCAGGAACTTGGATGTCTGGTTATGCCATGAAAGGACTACATATGAAAAAAAGCAATCCATTCCAAACAATACTCTATTAGAACCATGAACGAAGTTGCATACCACATGGAAGCACAGGGTGAGGGTGAGGTTAGGATGGTGGGGGAAGTGGCTACTCCACCAATCTAAACTGCTGAGTTGGAATCCTATGTGGTACTCGCGTCACTGCGTCCTACCACATCGGTTGAATTCTAGACATGAGCTTTCACATGTGTAAGTGTTACGCCTATTATGCTTTACTTAAGTGATATATTTTCATTTACTATTAGGATGATTATGTTATTCGGACTAATCGAGAGTTTCTTATCCATTGGATACATTAATTAGACTATTCAAATTATAGTATTAGGTGGAACAATCACTATCTTTACCATTAATGGTATTTTGACATGATTAAGTTATCAATAATGATTTACCAGTCCAAATGGCTCGCTGTAACTTTTACATTACTTGGATACAATAAAGTGGGATTCACATTAATTACAAAGCACTTCAATCTGCCTTTTCCGACTAGCCACTTTGAATGATATAACATTACTCTAGGCACTTAAGTAATGGCTTTATAAGTTGTGCCAAGCACACTAAGTATACAAATGTAATTTATTGCTCTAAGTGGTATCACAATTAGGGTTTGCTTTGACATTTTGAATGCATTAGAAATCTTTTTAAAATTAGTTGGTTAATTCTTTCGGCTGTTCAGTGGGAGAGTGCAACATTCTTTTAGATTTATTTTTACTTGTAGTGATCTATTCAGTTTGCAGAAGAATGTGACGTACCATTAAGGTAAGTCAGAATGGGGCGTGTAAATACAACAGTAAAGCATGAAATTAATAAAATATATGTCATATAGAGTGGGAGTGAGAGTCGGAGCAAACTTAAAGTGTGAGAACGGAAATGCACAAAGTGTGAGAGCGACACTCATTTAAAAGAATTGTGTGACTTACTCATGAAATAGGCCCTACGTGGATTATGATGTCTCTTAAATCAAGGGGGATTATGCTCAAGGAAGCAAGATTATGCTCCTCTTTTGAAAGATTTGAAAATCTTTCCATGTATGCTTAGGGAATAACAACATTTTAAAAAGAAGCCTGTAATTGGGTTTGGATTCTATGAAGAAAGATGTTTTAATTTTTTTATTTAAAGTATTTATGTTGAGAATTGAGCTAGGAATATATAAAATGCTGTGTCTGCTAGTCACAGACAAAACTTATTAGAAAACATGCATTTATTCAACTCAGAGAAGCTTATAAACCATATACATATATGCTACTATGCCTTTGGAAAATGATATGTTTATTCTATTATATCTTCTTATTACTTTATATTATCATGCTTCTTCAGAAAAGAAATTTTCTTGAACTAAAACAATGCTTTCCCTATGCTATGATTAAACTTTTGAATGATAGAACTCACGCCAATAGTTTTTTTTTGAAGCATACGGGATAAAGACAGATGATGATGATGATATACTGAAACAAGGGTTGCTAGAATCTAATACATAACTTCATGCATGGACAAAAAGGACCTTAGTTATTCTCAGGTGTGTAAAAGCAACATATATGTAACAACTTTGTGGTTTTAGCCCATTATGGCCATGAGCTATCTTTGAGCAAAATTAGGTCAATTAAACTAGCTTTAATCCAGGATTACGTACAAAGGGCCAATAATTAGTGAGAGTCTAATCAATGCAACATATAGATAATTATAGATTAAGTAGATACTTGAATATCTAACATTGTTTATTAGAAGTGGTGGTTTTTATATTGAAATTTGTATTATGACTCATTTACTACACAAAAAATTTCATTGCACTAAACAAAATTCCAAGAGATTGAAAATTTGTGTACTTGTTCTTTAAGGGTACTTTAGTGGTGAGTTTGCATTATTAAAGCTTTATAATTGGAAGATAAAAGCAAACCTTTTTCTTTTCCTGTTGAGTTTGCTTTAGCTTTAGCCTTTAGGTTTTCTTGCTAGAAAAACACAGACTGGAACTAGAAAAGGGAATCTTAACTCCTAACTCCAATGCAGTGGATCTCCACTGAAACACAATTTCCTGGAGAAATATTCAAGTGCTTTTGGACTCTTTTCACCCCTCTCTCTCTCTCTCTCTCTCTCTCTCTCTCTCTCTCTCTCTCTCTCTCTCCTCGAATAATAGTATTTGAAAAATGATACATAGTCAGGATAGGGTGATTAATATCAATTGATGTGAGTGGAGACCTCACACATTAGATGTGCGAGTTGTCCAATTATCGGTCTTTGTGTCATTACTCCTGGTATTTATATATTTCATTTTTTTTTTTTTTTTTTTTTTGTCTAAATTACATGGAGATGGAAAAACAAAGAGCTTGAAAATACTATAAAAATTCATCTAATTGACAGTTTTATAAGAAGTATGTGCTTAGAAGTGAGTTAAAAGAATACATGTTTTCAAATAATAGTTTGATTGTTACGTGCAAATTGTTTAGTTGAGAATTATTTTCAGATAATTGGACTAAACCAGCCTAGGAGATTTTTTGTGATAGGAAATTTATATTGAAGTAAGTAATTACACAAAAGAAAAAGATCAGAATATAATTCAATAAGCTAGGTAATCTCGTATGCTTTTGTAGACAAATATGGTAGGCTTTTCAATTAGTAGTATACATGGATTTAACTCATGATATCGTAGGATCAATCAGAAAATTGCATTTCCAGAGTCGGCTTAGTGACTCATATATAAAAATGGGAAAAGCAGAGAAAATCAATCCAGGATAAACGCAATAATATTAAATTGAGAATGCAAAACTGTTAAATGTCAATATAGTCATAATAACGAAACAAATGTCGCATTTTTTTTTTATCAATACTTCAATCTTACATCTCAATGTAATATTTTATAAGAGTGTTTGTGATTATTTGCAACATTTGTGTGTGCAATCCGGCGTATTGCATCTTCGATATAAAATAATTATTTATATATTCTTATGAATAGAACATGACCCTCACTTCCCTCACTCTTAATTTTGGTACTATTAGTATGACGCAATAAAGTTGTCACCAACCAAAACCAAAACAAAAGAAGGCATGGACAGTGGTGCAGCCAGTAGTCAACCAAGATCTTTATTTATTTATTTATTTTTATTTTTAAGTTTAAGTCATGGTTCGCAATTAGGGCTTTTTTTTTTTTTTTGGGTTAAAGTTCGCAATTAGGGTTGCAATCAAGCCGACTCATGGTATGCTTGAGCTCGGCTCGGCTCAAGTGATAGAATGCTCAAGCTCGGCTCGCGCTCGAGCTGAGCTGAGCCGAGAAATTTTGGTTCAAGCTCGGCGCGGCTCTGTTTAACGAGCCTTGGGCCGAGCTCGAGCTATTTAATTTTATTTTTTATTTTTAGATTTCGCATCTAACCGATCTAAAAAAAAAAAAAAATGAGAGAAATAGATTTGCAGTAATAAAAAGAGAGAAGTTTGAGAGAAAAAGAGAAGAAAGTGATAAATTTGATCGAAAATTAAACTTACCAGAATTAATTTTGATGAGAGAAGTTGAAAGATGCACATATCAATAGTAAATCCCAAAATCTATGCTAAAAGTTAGTTTGGATGAATGACAATTAATATATAAAAATCAAATATAATAAGAGAAAGGGAGAGAAGTAAGATTCCAAATTGTTGAGTGTGTTGCCTCTTCTGCTTGGGCTATTGATAATTTTAGAAAAAGGAAAGATGATTAGAGTTAGACATAAAACATGGGCTTGGGTTTGATTGTACAAATAGGCTTGTGTTTGATTGTACAGATGGGTTTGATTTTTGTTTTAAAATGAATAAATGATAAAATTGGGTCTAAAATATAACTAAAAAATTTAATGGGCTTGTATTTGATTGTACAGATGGGCTTGGTTTTGTTTTTAAAATAAATAAATAATATAATTGGGTCTAAAACATAACTAAAAATTTAATGAGCCTGTGAATTAAGACTTCATAACATAAAATTATATATTATAATTGGATATGTGTGTGTATTATAATCAAGTATGTTCGTGAACGCTTTATCAAGTTCAGTTCGTGAATGGTTTATGAACAAACGAGTCGTGCCTATTGATGTTCAGGCTCAGTTCGTTTATGAATCGAGTCTCAAAATTTGGCTCGAGCTCGAGTAGTTTGCAAACGGCTTGGCTTGTTTGCAACCCTATTCGCAGTAGCAGTTACGGTTGCGATATCGGTCGCGATATAATAAATTCGGACAAAATATGTGTAAACTGACTGATATGAGTCGCGTATCGGACTTAAAAAAAGGTCACGCATCCAATAATACGGCGAACCATAATTTAAGTATATATATATATATACACTGACTAAATTTTTTTTACACAAAGGAAAGATAACTTAAACCATGTAAGCTAAAATCCACTAATCACACGATCATCTTGAGTTTAACTCGATCATAATCCACCAGATCACATTGTTACGAATTTGTGGAGGGGGGGTAAAGTTGTGGTCTTCAGTTGAATTTATGTTATTGTAATATCATAATATGTGAGAAAGTAATAATTACGATAATCATTTATTTATATTAAAAGTAGTCAGTAAGAATGAAAAGCAACGAGGA